CACGTCCCTTCCCTGTCCAGCAGTTCCCTTGGGCTCCCTTACAGGCCTCCACGTTCCCTCGTTCTCGAGGAACCTGGTTGGTGTCGGCTCTCTCCAGGACCTCGGCGTCACCACTATGTTCCCCGGGCACGAGCGGTTCGCTGTCTGTTCTGAGGCTGTCTCAGGTTCCCCCCTTGCGACGTTCCTCTGGGACCCGGTGTCCGGATTGTTCACCCTAGACACCGCTTCCCCCCCGGTTGGTGCATCCTCCTAGGTCGCTGCAGCTTGCTCGTGTCGGTCCCTCACTCACCCGTCCCTTCTGTGGCACCACCGCTTAGGTCACCTTGCTCTCCCTCGTCTGCGTCACATGTCTCAGCACGGTCTTGTCTTAGGCCTCCTCGCGTCACGCCCTACCCTCCCCCCCTCGACTGCGCCACCGTGCACGCCCTGCGTCGAGGGCCGGCTCCGCCGTGCTCCTCACTCCTCCTCGCTGCGTCCTGCTACTGCCCCCCTTCAGACCCTACACCTGGACGTTTGGGGCCCTGCCCCCGTCCCCGGACCGCGTGGTGAGCGTTACTTCCTTGTGCTCGTCGACGACTACACGCGCTACACCACGGTGTTTCCCCTGGAGCGGAAGGCCGACGTGCCCGACGTTCTTTTACCGTGGGTTGTGGCTGCGCATCTTCACCGCGGTCTCCCCGTGTTGTGTCTCCACTCAGACCGTGGCGGCAAGTTCGCCTCTGGTCGGCTTGGACAGTTCTGTCGTGCGGAGGGCATCACCCAGTCGTACACCTTGCCGGACTCGCCACATCAGAATGGGGTTGCTGAGCGCCGCATCGGCTTGGTCATGGAGGTCGCCCATACCTCCATGATTCATGCCGATGCCCCCCATTTTCTGTGGCCGTTCGCTGTTCGCTACGCTGCTCACCGGCTTAACTTGTGGCCACGCTCCAAACGGCCGCAGGTTTCACCGACCCTCCTTTGGACCGGGTCCCCCGGTGACGAGTCTGCGTTCCACGTCTGGGGCTGCCTTGCTCACGTTCGTGCCTCTGGCACGGACAAGCTCACTGCCCGCAATGTCCCCTGTGTCTTCCTCGGTTTCCCCCTGGACTCGTCTGACTGGCTTTTCTACCACCCGCCGTCTCACCGCTTCCTCCACTCCCGTGACGTCACCTTTGACGAGTCTGTCTCCTTCTACCGTCGCTTCCCTCACCGAGGTCTCCCGGTTGCCCCCCCCCTATTCCTGGCTCCCTCTCCCCCGGTAGCCCCTGCTCCTCTCGCGCCTCGTCCTGCCCCGTCTGGTGTCTCTCACGTCACTCCCTCCCGTCAGTTGTCCCCGTTGAGGAGTCTGCTGACTCTGGTGGTACCCCCGGCCCGTCCTTGCCGCGTCCCCCTTTCCCGGTGTCTCCGCCTCCCCTGTCGCATTCGCCGACTCCGCCGCAGCCGCCGCCGCCGCCGCCACCGCCGCCGCCGCCGTTGCAGCCGCCGCCGTCGCCGCCGCTGCCGCCGCCGCTCTTGGCCTCTAGGGGTGCTGGCGTTGAGGAGGGTGTTCGTCCTGCGGCTCCTGGGGGTGCCGCTGGTGTTGGAGGGGGTTCTCGCTCTGGGGGTGTTGGTTCTGGGGGTGCTGCTGTTGAGTGTTCTGCCGGCGGTCGTCCTGCCCCTGCCGGTCCCAGGGTTGCGGCCCAGCAGTCGCCGCCGTTCTCCGCTCTCCGCCTGCTCGGCCTTCCCTCCCCTGACCGCTTGCCGGTGTCTCCCCCACGCCTTCTGACTTTCCTGTCTACAGTCTTGTGTTCCCGCCGCCGGACTCGTCTCCGGCCCGTCTTCCTCCTCGTTTCCCTCCTGTGTCCCCTCCGCTGTCTCCTGACCCTACACCTCCGTCCCACGTTTGGTCTCGCCGTCCCTCCCGTGCTCGTTCCGTCTCTCCTGTCCTGCGCTCCCACCCTATGTTGCTCCGTTCCCACTCGTCTCGTCCTCCCCTCCTCCCGTCCCCTCCTCCCTCGTCGCTTGCTGTTGCACCTCCTCCGTTGTCTGACTACCTCCGTGCCACTCGTCCCCTTGTCCCTCGGGTTCTTGCCTCTCTTGTTATCGACTCGTCTGTTCCTGTCTCGCGCCTTGACGCGCTTGTCGCTGCTGTCGCTGACTTCGCCTCTACCCGCCACCTTGACTACGCTACCGCTCTGGTCTCTGACCCTGCCCGTCCTCCGTCCGTCGGGGGTGCTCCTGCCCTTGGCAGTGACGTTCTAGATGACAGGCAGTACGAGCTTGCTTTCCTTTCCGAGGCCGCTCCCCATCTCTGCTCCATGCTGTTAGTCCCTGAGGGTGACCCAGACTCCTTCGACATCCCGACCCCTCGCACCTACGCTGAGGCCACCTCGGGACCTTGGGCCTCTCAGGGGATAGCTGCCATGGAGCAGGAGATGGCATCTTGGAGGTCCACCGGCACTTACATCGACGCAGTTCCCCCGCCTGGGGTGAACGTAGTCGATGGCCGCTGGCTCTTCAAGATGAAGCGCCCCCCTGGAGAGCCGCCTGTCTTCAAGGCGTGCTACGTGGCCAGAGGCTTCAGTCAGCGCGAGGGGGTTGACTTCTTCCATACCTTCGCCCCGACCCCGAAGATGACCACTCTTCGGGCGCTGCTACACGTAGCAGCACAGCGCGACTACAAGCTTCACTCCCTCGACTTCTCTACTGCCTTTCTTCAAGGCAGCCTATACGAGCAGGTCTACCTACGCCGACCACAGGGCTTCACTTGTACCTTCCCCCCTGGGACCCAGTGGCTTCTCAGGCGCCAGTTCTACGGCCTGCGCCAGGCTCCCCGCGAGTGGCACGACACGTTGCGGGCCACTTAGCAGACCTGCAGTTCTTTCCGTCCTCTGCATACCCCTTGCTGTTTGTGCGCTCCGGCCAGACTCCGTTCTACATACTTGTCTACGTAGACGATCTGGTCTGCGCTACTGCTGACAAAGACGCACTGGCCTCTATGAAGACCGAGCTGCTGAAGAGACACACCTGCACTGACCTTGGAGAGCTGCGTCGCTATCTTGGCCTGCAGATCTCTAGGGACAGAGCAGCACGCACCATCACTCTGACACAATCACACTTGGTGCGTCAGGTCCTTCAGAGGTTCGGTCTTCAGTTCTCCTCCGCACGGCCCACACCTCTACCTGTAGACCATGGGCTCTCCGCTCCCGTTCCTGAGGAGCCAGTAGAGCCCAGTGGTCCCTACGCAGAGCTGGTGGGTTGCCTCATGTACCTGATGACTTGCACTCGCCCAGATCGCGCATACCCTCTCAGCATCCTGGCTCGCTTTGTGGCTACAGGCAGACACCGACCTCAGCACTGGTCTGCCGCTAAGAGGGTTTTGCGTTATCTTGCAAGTACATCGGGCATGGGGTTAGTGCTAGGATGACGCAGGCTAGTGGTCCTCACTGGGCACACAGACGCTTCTTGGGCAGACGACTCTGAGACTCTTAGGTCGTCTCAGGGCTACTGTTTTAGCCTTGGTTCGGGTGCTATCTCTTGGAGATCCACTCGCTCGTCGTCTGTTGCTCAGTCCAGCTGTAAGGCTGAGATCTACGTCGGTGCCATGGTAGCACAGGAGCTCCGCTGGCTTACCTTCTTGCTCACAGACTTCGGTGAACGGCCTAGCTCTGCCCCGGTCCTGTACGCTGACAACAGGGCCATGATACTCCTGTTTAGGAGCCTCGGCTTGAGGGCAGAGCGAAGCATATCCAGCTGCGGTAATTCCTCCTGCGCGAGCTACAGCAGCGTCGCCAGGCTCGCGTAGTTCACTTGGCCTCTGGTGCCAACATAGCTGATATCTTTACTAAGGCGCTTGCGCCTAAAGATCATCAGCGGCACTGTATCCAGCTTGGTCTTGTTCCTGTCGCTTCTCACTTGTTAGGACCGTGATTGTGTACTCTCTACTATTTATATCTGTCTGACTGGCCTTGTGGCCTTACCTCCAGTGGCTGGACTAGTAGTGCCGCCCTGGCTTGCTTTAGTCTTGTTTGTACTCTTGCTGACTGGTCTCCGGACCCCTGCCTCAGTGGTTGGACTAGTAGTGTCATCCTGAGCTGTGTGCTTCTTGCTTAGCTCCACCCCTTATCTAGCCTAGGGGGTGTGTCAACTTATACATATGTTCTATGTAGAAGTTATAGGCTAGACTAGGTGTGTGCTTCTAGTGAGTACAAACCAACAGGTACATGCTCTAGGTTTCTCTTCCTAGTAGATCATTATCGTATTCTAACAGTTTGTCCTTACCGTCGCGTTGACTCTTGACTCTTCCGATTCTGACTGCTGGGTTGCACGGTCAACGGTCTGCGACCGTTGCCCTTTCATAACCTCTGCGGGGTGTCGTCAACCTGTGTGAATCGTCGGTGGTACTGTAGCAATTTTGACTCGGTAATCCTCGTTGTTGTAGTCTTCGCGTATTCAAACACTCATGTGAGACTCCGGAACTGTCTTTAAGTCCTTTTATCATTTCCAACCGATTCTAATCAATGGTTGTAATGCTGCTTACAAATTTGGACTTCATGTGTCATAGCGTCTCAGCCGTCAAATCCGCGTTTGGCCCAACTTGAACTCCCCCCAAATCAAACAGTGCCCAGCTTGGATACGAAATTCCGTGTGAAGTAACAGAATCACATTTTTCACACCAAATAAAACAATTGTTACTATCAACCCGCCCAGCCTAAATTCTGCTCGTTGACTTGCGTGAACTAATTTGGGATCTGGGCTTTAACCACATTAGACTATTCTTCTCAGCATTGTGCAACCTAATAATGTATACACCCACACCCTTTATTAGTAATTACAAACAGAGCAAATACTTTCTTTTCCACCCCTCTAACAAAAAATTCCCTGGTCTCTTGGGGTATTGTTTCACACAAGGTGCCCTTGTAGGTGCACATCGTCACAAAAGCGACCACTTGTGCTTGGTGTGAACTGAAACATGAATGCTTTATGTATTTGTGCATACCGAGATGACTTCCCGAAATTGCACGCTGAATCAGTGTCTCGAGAGGATGTTTGTGCGAGGGCCTTTCTTTTCACTCCACAGCCTTGGCTAGCGCCATCCGCCTTGCTCCCCGGTGGCAGGCAGGCAGGCATGGACGACGGCGCCAGTAGAGGCGGCAGCGCATCATGCCGCAGCAGCATGTGCAACGTGGGGTGGGCGGTGCGCGCGCTGCACGCGATGAGCTCGCGAGACCTCATGAACGCAGCGCAAGACGCGCTGAGAGACGAGCCACGTCAGACGGATAGCTCGCCACGTCAGCGGAGAATGCCAGTGGACTTGCTGCCTATCCGCTTGTCGAACCGCCGCGGCGGAGTCACGCATGTAGGTGCTCGTTCCTGGTCGCTTTTGAATCACGTGCACTCCTCCCCTTCTCTCCATACTCATCCCGCGCGATCCCCTTTCCAATACCGCGCACGCATTGTACGTATGCTTCTCTGTGCATGCTTGTGTCCATGGGTGCATGCTTGTGTCCATGGGTGCATGCTTGTGTCCATGGGTGCATGCTTGTGTCTATGGGTGCATGCTTGTGTCCATGGGTGCATGCTTGTGTCCATGGGTGCATGCTTGTGTCCATGGGTGCATGCTTGTGTCCATGGGTGCATGCTTGTGTCTATGGGTGCATGCTTGTGTCCATGGGTGCATGCTTGTGTCCATGGGTGCATGCTTGTGTCCATGGGTGCATGCTTGTGTCCATGGGTGCATGCTTGTGTCCATGGGTGCATGCTTGTGTCCATGGGTGCATGCTTGTGTCCATGGGTGCATGCTTGTGTCCATGGGTGCATGCTTGTGTCTATGGGTGCATGCTTGTGTCCATGGGTGCATGCTTGTGTCCATGGGTGCATGCTTGTGTCCATGGGTGCATGCTTGTGTCCATGGGTGCATGCTTGTGTCCATGGGTGCATGCTTGTGTCCATGGGTGCATGCTTGTGCCCATGGGTGCATGCATGCACATACGAACACACGCGAATGCGTACATATTCACGTGTGCATGTATGCGTGTGTGTGCATGTAACCGCACATGCATGAGTGCATGGGCGTGAATGCACGGGGGTGGTTGCATGCATGAGTGCATGGGCGTGAATTCATGGGGGTGGTGGCATGCATGAGTGCATGCATGTGAGTACATCAGGTGGATCTGCCACTCCTCGCAGCATCGCTGCCCCTCCACCTCCTCACCTGCGCTGCCCTCGTGCTGCACCGCGCCCACAATCCCTCTCATGCGCCCCCCATTTTTCCTCCTCCTGCCTCTATCCCGCCGTCTCCTCCTCCCTCCTATCCTCCCTCACTCACGCCCGCTGTTCCTTCCGCCAGCGCACATTCTCAACCTCTCACCATCGCTACTGGCGAGTGTGCGAGGCACGAGGGGGCGGAAGGGGGAGGTGAGGAGGGGATGGCGATGAGAGGGAGGGGCGGAGGCGGGATGGGGAGTTGCGTTGAAAGAGCAGAGCAGACCAAGAGACAGGGTGCGGAGCAGAATGGGAAGCACGATGGGAAGCATGATGGGAAGCACGATGGGAAGCACGATGGGAAGCACGATGGGGAACGGGGAGGGGAGCGGGGAGGGGAGCAGGTATTGGGGGAGGTGATAGAGCGGCGGACAGGAAAGGTTGATGGGCTTGCTGTAGCGCCAAAGGGGGGTGCATCCCCTAAGGGGGACGTTGCAGCCCCTAAGGGGGACGTTGCAGCCTCTAAGGGGGGCGTTGCAGCGCCTAAGGGGGGCGTTACAGCGCCTAAGGGGGGCGTTACAGCCCCTAAAAGGGGCTTTGTAGCGTTTGTGCCTGGGAGCAGGGCTGGCAGTGGGGAGAAGGATGCGCAGGGAGGGAGTTGGGGAGAGGGTGGGGGAGCAGGGATTGGAGATGGGGGAAAGGACGGAGGCGTGGAGGGCGGAGAGCGAGTGAGGGAGGGAGAAGAGAAGCAGGGCTGGGGGCGGGAAGATGTGGCGCAGGGAAGAGGGGACACTCGCGTGGAGGCGAGCACGCATGGGGATCGGGGAATGAGAGCGGCGGTACAAGTGGCGGTTGGGTCGGAGAGCAAGCAAGGGCGAGCAGACGAGGGTGCGAGAGGGAGGAAGGAGGATCCATGCGGCTGGAGAGAGGGTGGGGATGAAGAGGAGGAACAGCAAGTGAAGCAAGATTCAGATGGTACCCCTCTTGCTGCTGCTCCTGCTGCTCCTGCTGCTGCTGCTCCTGCTGCTCCTGCTGCTGCTGCTGCTGCTGCTGCTGCTGCCAACAATGTAACTGCAGTTGCTGCTGGTGCAAAGGATGTAACAGCTGTTCCTGCTGCTGCTGCTGCCAAAGGCGTGACCGCAGTTGCTGTTGTTGGTAAAGATGTAACTACAGCCGGTGGTACTGCCACAGATGTAACCGCAGTTGCTGCTGCAGCTGCCACAGATGGAATGCTTGCTGCTGCCGCTAAAGGTGTAGCTGTTGCTGCTGCCATTGATGCGGCGAAGGATGTGACGTCAACTGCAGCTGCCAAAGAAGTTACACCACCTTCTGCTACAATCATTGCAACAGAAGTTGCTGCTGCCAAAGGTGTAACAGCTTCTGTCAAAGATGTAACAGCTGCTGCCCAACGAGCTGTGGCTGCCCAAGATGTAACAGGTGGTGCGACGGCCAATGACGCAACTGCAGGTGCTGCTGTCAAAGTTGCTGCTCAAGATGTAACAGCTGCTGCCACAGATGTAACAGCTGCTGCCACAGATGTAACAGCTGCTTCCACAGATGTAACAGCTGCTGCCACAGATGTAACAGCTGCTTCCACAGATATAACAGCTGCTGCCACAGATGTAACAGGTGCTGCCACAGATGTAACAGCTGCTGCCACAGATGTAACAGGTGCTGCCACAGATGTAACAGGTGCTGCCACAGATGTAACAGGTGCTGCCACAGATGTAACAGGTGCTGCCACAGATGTAACAGCTGCTGCCACAGATGTAACAGGTGCTGCCACAGATGTAACAGGTGCTGCCACAGATGTAACAGGTGCTGCCACAGATGTAACAGGTGCTGCCACAGATGTAACAGGTGCTGCCACAGATGTAACAGGTGCTGCCACAGATGTAACAACTGCTGCCACAGATGTAACAGGTGCTGCCACAGATGTAACAGGTGCTGCCACAGACGTAACAGGTGCTGCCACAGATGTAACAGCTGCTGCCACAGATGTAACAGGTGCTGCCACAGATGTAACAGCTGCTGCCACAGGTGTAACAGCTGCTGCCACAGATGTAACAGCTGCTTCCACAGATGTAACAGCTGCTGCCACAGATGTAACAGCTGCTGCCACAGATGTAACAGCTGCTGCCACAGATGTAACAGCTGCTTCCACATATGTAACAGGTGCTGCCACAGATGTAGGTAAGGGTGCTACCGGAGCCGCACCGGCCGCATCTCCTGCTGAAGGGACTGCTGGTCGTGCTGCAACAGACGCCACCACTCACACCACCCCGCACACTACCCCTCCCAAGACAGCAGCACCTCCTGCTGCCATTGCTGCAGCCGCCACTGCTAAAGCCGCCACTGCTGCAGCCCCCACTGCTACAGCCCCCACTGCTACAGCCCCCACTGCTACAGCCCCCACTGCTACAGCCCCCATTGCTGCCTCTCCATCACTTCCTCCCCAAAGCCCGCTTGCCTCCCCTGCTCTCGCCCCTCAGACCGGCCCCTCCCTCCCTCCCACACACCCGTCCCATCCACCCACACCCCCTGCCCTGCCATCCACCTCTGCCATACCCCCTCCCCCCTCTCCCCAGCCTGTTCCCTCCTCCCAGCCTGCCCCCTCCTTACAGCCTCCCCCCTCCGCCCATCCTCCTCCGTCCTCCCAGCCTGCCTTCTGTCTCAGCGCCCCTGTGGCGGTGACCATTCGGCACGGGCTGCGGGCCGCCAGAGTGGCGTGGTGCCGGCAGCACGACTCGCCAGCGCATGCTGGCATGGCGGCACACGCTGGTGGCGCTGGTGAGGCACCTCGAGGGGGCGCTGGGGGGAATGCTGGAGGCGGTGGCGCAGAGAAGGGGGCGAGAGGCAGTGGGGGCGGCATGGCGAGTAGAGAGGGTGACACGCGCATGAGCGGGGCCATGAGAGCGGGTGAGAAGGCCGGGGAGGGGCCAGAGGAAGAGGCGCACGCGGAGAGCAAGGTGCAGACGAGTGAAGGCGGCCCGGTGGAAGGTGGAGGTGGTGAGCGCAGCAATGGTGTGAGTGTAGAGAATGGTGTTGTCCACTTGAACCCCTGCAGCACTGCCACGGTGGGCTGGCTGCTGGGCAGGTTAGATGGTGAGAGGCGTGATGCGTGGCTGGAAGAGAGGGAGGAACGATCAAGGGGAGGGGAGAAGAGAAGGTGGGGCGAGGAGGGGCAGGAGGGGGAGGGGGAGAAGTGCAGAAAGAGGAGCAAGTCTGGTGAGGCGTGTAAGGGTCTGGCGGGAGAGAGAGGGGAGCAGCAGGGGTTGGCGGGAAAGGAAGAGGAGTGCGGGGCGATGGGGGAGGAGCAGCAGGGGCTGGCGCACATGGCCAAGGGGCTGCGCCTTTTGCACTCGCTGTGCGACCTGGCCAATCACATGCCTCGCCTGCACCAGGTGGGTGTGCTTGGGAGGAGGAGGGGGAGGGGGGGGGGAAGAGGGGAGAGAAGGAGGGGGGGTTGGGGAAGTGGTGTTGGGTCCTTGTCTCGGCCATGCCATACATGGTTGAATACTGCTCCGTGCCATCTCTGGTGGGTGCTTACTGTGCAACGGCTGTATTCAAAAGTGTTGGTGTTCAATGTTCCTCCTGTTTGTGCCCGCTCTGTCAAAGGTAGTGGCAGCGCCAATCTGCAAGAGCAGCCATGTGATTGGATTCCGAATTATCTGCGTGCCAGCTATTGTCCGCCTCGTTTCCTGTAGTCTCTGTGCTCACACCAGCTTGTACCCCTCCCCCCGCGCCCCGTGTCTCTCCGTGCCCTTCCTCAGCTGCTCCTGGTCAGCCCGGCCACCCGCAGGCACATGCTGGACCTCGTCGTGCTGCTCACCATCGCCCTCGCCGCACCGCACCAGGTGCCCCCTCTCTCTCTGCCCCCTCTCTCTCTGCCTCCTCTCTCTCTGCCCCCTCTCTCTCTGCCTCCTCTCTCTCTGCCTCCTCTCTCTCTGCCTCCTCTCTCTCTGCCTCCTCTCTCTGTGACCCCTCTCTCTCTGCCTCCTCTCTCTCTGCCCCCTCACTCTCTTCCTCCTCTCTCTCTGCCTCCTCTCTCTCTGCCTCCTCTCTCTCTGCCTCCTCTCTCTCTGCCTCCTCTCTCTCTGCCTCCTCTCTCTGTGCCTCCTCTCTCCCTGCCTCCTCTCTCTCTGCCTCCTCTCTCTCTGCCTCCTCTCTCTCTGCCTCCTCTCTCTCTGCCTCCACTCTCTCTGCCTCCTCTCTCTCTGCCTCCTCTCTCTCTGCCTCCTCTCCCTCTGCCTCCTCTCTCTCTGCCCCCTCTCTCTCTGCCCCCTCTCTCTCTGCCCCCTCTCCCCCTCGCTCCACCACACCTGTTACTCTGCCCCCATAATATTCCTTGTCCCGCCACGCCACGCCGTTCCATGTTTTACAATGCACTGCCGCATCCAACCCCATATGACGAGCCCTTAGGGGACTCAACACTCTGGCAGGCCTTGTTAATTTCCTCCTGTCCTTTGGTGCAGCGATTGAAGGGAGGGAGCAGGGACGGCAGGCAGTGTGGCAGTGGCGGGTGCGGCGGCAGCAGCAGAGATGGCGAGGGGCAGGCGAGGGAGGGGGGTGCCAAAGAGGGGCCAGCAGCGGAGGGGGGGGCAAGCATGCATGGTGTGCCGGCCGGGGGGGATGGCACATGCGGAATGGGGAAGGAGGCGGAAAGGGGGCACGGGGGAGAGAAGGCATTGGGGGAGGCAGCGCTTTTTTCAGCCACAGTAACGTCATGCCTCTTCCTGCTGCCTGCCTTCGTCACTCCCGACTGGATCGACACATGCGCCGTCCTCGCCCTGCACCCCATGGTATGCCCTGCACCCCATGGTACGCCCTGCACCCCGTGGTACGCCCTGCACCCCGTGGTATGCCCTGCACCCCGTGGTATGCCCTGCACCCCGTGGTATGCCCTGCACCTCGTGGTATGCCCTGCACCCCGTGGTATGCCCTGCACCCCGTGGTATGCCCTGCAGGACGCACCCCATGGTACGCACCCCTGGTCATACACCCCTCACACGCACCGCTCTTCATGCACCCCTCATCATGCACCCCTCTTCACCGCACGTACACCCTCCCTTCATGATAGGAGGAGGACCTGTGCTTGCTTGCCCCCTCTCCCATCGCGCCTTGCCATCCCCCCAAGTCCCACTACCCCAGGTGGCTGCCTTTCGCCCTGCAGCGCTTGCTGCTGTCTCCACGGCCGTCCTCATGCTGCCCTTTCGCCCTTCAACCCCCTCCTCACGTCTCAAGCATGCACCCTCCCATGCTCCCTCTTGCCCTCGCATGCTCCCTCTTGCCCTCCCATCCTCCCTCTTGCCCTCCCTAGCTCCCTCTTTCCCTCCCTTGCTCCCTCTTGCCCTCCCTTGCTCCCTCTTGCCCTCCCTTGCTCCCTCTTGCCCTCCCTTGCTCCCTCTTGCCCTCCCTTGCTCCCTCTTGCCCTCCCATGCTCCCTCTTGCGTTCCCATGCACCCGCACTTGCAACCACCCCAGGTCGATGCCTTTCTCCCTACAGCCCTTGCCACGGTCACAAGGGCCGTCCTCATGCTGCACCCACTCCTCTCACCTTCTCTCCTCTCCTCCCTCCCCCTCGTGCCTCCACCCAGGTGGACGCCTTTCTCCCTGCCGCCTTTGAAGGCGTCACTCAGGCGCTTCTCATGCTGCACCACCTCCTCTCGCCCGCCCTCGCCCCCTTCTCCCACCCAGCCCCCCCTCGCGCTCCCTCCTCTCCTAACCCCGCTCCCTTCACCCAGCCCCCCCCTCGCCCCCACTGCAACCACACTCGCCCTGCCTCCCAACTCGCCCGTTCTTCGTTGCTGGCATGCGAGGCACATGCGGTAACAAGGGAGTGTGCTGGGGAGGCGGGGAAGGGAGAAAGGGTGGGAGAGCAAGGGAGTGAGAGGGATGGTGGGAGCGAGATGGGAGGGGGTGGCGGAAGGAGGCGATTGCATGGGGGCATTGGACCGTGGGGTGAGCTGCACATGGTGGTGCGGCAGTGCGAGGCGGCTTTGCAGGTGCTGCAGGTGCTGTGCCGCCCGGATGGGCTCGGCGCGCTCGTGCTGAAGCATAAGGTGGGTTTGTCTGTTTGTTCGTTTGTTTGCTTGTTGTCCATGCGTCCACACGTCCATGCGTCCACACGTCCATGCGTCCACACGTCCATGCGTCCACACGTCCATGCGTCCACACGTCCGTGAAGCCACACATGCAACCACGCGCTGGTCATGCTGATTGGCTGCATCTCTCATCCCACCACATGTATCTCTCATCCCACCACATGTATCTCTCATCCCACCACATGCATCTCTCATCCCACCACATGCATCTCTCATCTCGCTCGCAGACCGCGCAAAGTAGACGCTCGATCGCAATAAAAAACGATTCAAGGCTCGCCAGCCCTGTTGATCTGGCTGTGACCCTGCCGCAATTACACAGTACCTCCCTCCCCCGCTCTATGTCGCACACACCGGCCTTGACAAGGCGATGGTTGTGCACCCATGCCATGCCATAATTGATTTCCAGCCTTCAAATCGCATGTCCGTTCAACGCATTGCTGAATGCTTGCCGCGCGCACCAAAATGATTGCGACATGACCTGCTGCATGCTGCAGGGTATCCATGCTTGGAACGAGCTTCGCAAGATATGCAGTGTCCTGCGTTTCCTCTCAACTCAAAGCGGATCCATCCATGCTTCCGGTCTGGGATCACTCAACCCCGACGGCCAATATAAGGTTCCGCCCCACCCCGTCACTCCCTTTGCCTTCACCTGGCCCGCAGGACCTAGTCCACGGCGGGGGCCTTCTTCGCCTTCTCCTCGCTGTGCTCCGCCTGCCCCTCCCGCCCCTCCTCCCCCCGCCTCTCCCACCTCTCCCCTGCTCCACCCTCCCCCGCGCCCACCCATCCACCTGCACCCCAGCCTCGCCCTACACCATCCCTCTCTCGCCCTCGCCCGCCCTCTCCTCGCCCCCATCTGCTGCCTCGTCGCGCCAAGCCATCCCCCCGGAGGCGGTGGTGTCGTTAGAGGCGCTCGTGGCGGCGCTTTCTCGCTGCAAGTGCCGCGCAATCCACATGGTGGGTGCGATCCACATGGTGCGTGTGCTGTGCTGTAGCTGGTACTAGTTCTTGTGGTTCTACTGTGCGCACACGACCACCCCACTACAAACATCCTCTACTGCCATCCCTCCCATCATTCGCCTTCCTCTGTTCCCCACCCTCTCCTTCCCCCATCCCGTGTCCTCCCTCACTCCCTCCCTTCTCTGGCCCCTCAGCTCCTCACCGTCAGTGAAGCCGACGGCTCCTCCTTCCTTGATGACGTGGCAGCCAGTCCTGGGTCGTTACAACTAGCGCAGGATGTTACACAAGAGGTAATGAGCGTGTCACATCTTACGCTGTGCAGTGTTTGCCAGTCACCACAGGCAGCTGGCCTCTCATCTTGCTGGCCTCTCATCTTGCTGGGCTTCGCCTCGAGCGCGCTGTGCCTGCAGCCGTGCTCTTCATATGCTGTGCCTGCAGCCGTGCTCTTCATATGCTGTGTGCTCCACATACCTGTGTGCACACCAATGCTTTCCCTGCTGCTTTAAATCATCTGCTCCTACATGCCCTCATGTCCCACCGCACCCCCCACTCCCTCCCCCCTGCAGCTCCTCTCTCTGCTGCACGCCACTGCCATTGCCAATGTTGACCTCGCCGCCCGCCTCCTCTCCCACCGCACACCCTCCTCCGCCGCCTCCCCGCCCCTCCTGCCCGACCCCTCTTCCTGCCCACGCCCCACTCCCTCCCTGCACCCATCCTTCGCTCCACACCCGCTGCTCTCCTCAAGCCCTTCCTTGCCCCCCCCCCACATGCCTCTCCCGTTTGGCCGTCTGAGTGTGAATGTGCTGCGGGCTGCTGAGGTGCTTTCAGACGACTCCAGCTTCCGCCCCTTCTTCATGCTGCATGCGGTATGTGTGTGCTTCCCTTTGCTTGTCTGCACTCCCACGCACTTGATCGTACACAGTTGCGGGTGTACACAAGTTTGCACCCTCACATGGATGCTCACACTCCATGTTCAGGGTGTGCGGCGAGCAGCGCTGGTGCTTGCAGATACCTCCAGCTCCGCCCTTCTTCATTCACCACGCAGTTCCGTCCCATGCCACACCCATGTACTTTCACACATCATTAACTACAGTGCGCGCGGCTCAAGTGCTCAACTCTAACCCTCCTCCGGCTCTCTCTCTCCTCCGATCTGTCTGCACACCTCGTTCCTTCAATCTCTCTCTGCATGCGTCTCTGCCCCCTTCCCCCCCCCCTCCTCATCCAGGCCCCGCTTCTCGTGCGCCTGCTCTCCCTCCCCGCCCCCGCCTTCTCCTCGCGCTGGCTGCACGGCCCGCTCTCCCGTGCCCTTGCCGCGCGCGAGGTTGACGCCTGCGTGCTCTTCCGCCCCTTCCCCTCCCTGGGCCTCGCACTAGCGCTCTCCGCCTCCGCCTCTGGCTCCCACGGCCCTGCCGCAGCTTCCGTGCCGCCCAGCCAAGGGGAGCAACGGAAGGAGGCTCAGGAGGTGGAGAGGGGAAGCAGTGGAGTGGACGGCATAGAGGACTTGGCAGAGTCTTCCTCTTCCGGGCCGTTCTCTTTCAGCGAGGGAGGGCTTGTGGCTGCCACGAGGGCGCCTTGCAAGGAGGCATCTGGGACGACAAGGCGCAGTGGCAGCCGGGGCGCAACAGGGAGGGGGACTCCTGCAGGCGATGGCGGAAATGCTGAGAAGCCTGGAGGGGACTTTCTATTGGAACGAGTTGATGAATGGATGGTGGGAGGGACGAGGAGTGAGAAGAGGAAGCGAGGGAGGGATGAAGGGAAGGGAGAGAGTGAGTGGAAGGAGGGGCTGCTGTGGCTGGAGGGAGGGTGTGATGGGGCAGCAGCGGAGGCAGAGGGAGTGAGTGGAGAGGAGACAGGACGGGGAGGAGGGAGAAGTGGGGCGGGAAGAGGAGGTGGGGGAGGAGAGGGCAGAGGTGCGGGTGAGGAGGGAGGAGGCGAGGGAGGAGTGGGGAGCGGGTGGCAGAGTGTGGGTCTCCTTGTGAAGCTCGTCGCCAACCTGCACTGCCACGACCCCCTCCTCTGCCCTGGTACCCGCTCCTCTGCCCTGGTACCCGCTCCTCTGCCCTCGTGCCCTCGCTTTCTCTTCTCTCCTCGTGCTGTGCCCTCGTGCCTCTTCTCCTTCCAGTCATCATTCCAGTCCATGCTATCACCCCCCTCCCACCCGCCGCCAGGCCAGGACCGCAACCACTTCCTCCACCTCGTCATCGCTGCCATCTGCCAGGAATGCCCGCCCTCAGACACATATGGAGGGGATGCACCCAGGGAGGGTGTGCTTGGGAAGGGTGTATCTGGGGAGGGTGTATCTGGGGAGGAGGTATTTGGGGAGGGTGCAGCTGGGGGTGCAGCTGGCAGCAGCAATATGGCAGAGGAGGAGAGGCAGAGGGAGCAAGCAGAGGCAGCGGTGCGAATCTGCGAGAACTTGTGTGAGTCGCGGTGTGATGGTGCCGCTGGGTGATGGTGATGGTGCCAGTTGCAGGGGGAGTGGCACGGGGCATGGCAAGGGGAGTGGCAAGGGGAGTGGCAAGGGGAGTGGCAAGGGGCGTGGCAAGGGGCGAAAGGGGTGGATAGCCCTGGGAGGGAGAGATGGCAGCAGAGGGGCAAAACGAGGACGCGCACTGTGTGGACGAGATATGTGAGAAGAAGTACTCGCTACCATCTCTCCCATTGCATTTCTCCCAGACGCATCTTCCCCATGCCCTCCAACTCCTCCACCTCCTCCGTCTCTCCCACATCCCATCCCACTATCCCTCCCCCCCCCCTTCTCCCTTCTCTCCCTCTGCCCCTCCACCGCCCCCCAGACTCGCTCATAGACTTTGCTGCCACCATGCCTGCAACGCATGTCAGCGATGATGATGTCATCCTCATCAGGTGCTGGCGTCATCATTTGCAGATGGGGAATCCACTGACGATGGGTCCCTGTGGTACCTAGTGCCATCTGTATTCTTAAGCATTATACCCTTACTTATGACCTGGGAGCTTCCTTAACTTCAGTTGATTGAATGTAGTTTGTGTTGTGTGAGGGTCTGTGTGCAGGGGTGCTCATGTGTGCATGTATGGAGTATGTGCCTGTGCGCGTACATGCATATGCATCCGTCTGGCTTTCCATTGTGCTGCCTTCTCACATCTCGGCTATCGTTTCACCACCCCCCATGTTTCACTGCAGTCAGTTCGCCAGTGCCCTGCATGCTGCCATCTGCCACCACCCTGCTCACCAGGTGCGCCCCTCCCTGGCTGCTATGTGTGCAGTCAGGCAGTCAGGCAGTCAGGCAGTCAGGCAGTCAGGCAGTCAGGTAGTCAGGCAGTCAGGCAGTCAGGCAGTCAGGCAGTCAGGCAGTCAGGCAGTCAGGCAGTCAGGCAGTCAGGCAGTCAGGCAGTCAGGCAGTCAGGCAGCTGCCTGCCCATGCACGCCCACCTGCCCATGCACGCGCACCTGCCCATGCACGCGCACCTGCCCATGCACGCGCACCTGCCCATGCACGCGCACCTGCCCATGCACGCACACCTGCCCATGCACGCGCACCTTCCCATGCACGCGCACCTGCCCATGCATGCGCACCTGCCCATGCACGCGCACCTGCCCATGCACGCGCACCTGCCCATGCACGCGCACCTGCCCATGCACGCGCACCTGCCCATGCACGCGCACCTGCCCATGCACGCGCACCTGCCCATATATGATGCACATGTACGTGTGTACATACATGTGTGCCAGCCTGTGTGCTTGCCCGCACATACACCCCCATACGTCATTGCACCTTTTCAGATGCGCATGCACGCACGCTCACATGCATGCACACGCTTCCTCCCCCCTGTTCATCGATGCCCATGGAGCAGGAGGAATGTGCGGTGCGAGAAGTGAGGGCGCGGCACGATGCGTGGCTGGCGGCGCTGCAGGGGAGGTGGGATGGGCAGGAGAGATGGCTGCGACTGCAGCCAGCGGATGGGGATGGGGAGGATGGGGATGGGGATGGAGATGGGATGGAGAAGGCGTGACCCCGCAGTGGTTAGCGGAGTGGTTAGCGCAGTGGTTAGGGCAGTGGTTAGCGCAGTGGTTAGTGCAGTGGTTAGCGCAGTGGTTAGCGCAGTGGTTAGTGCAGTGGTTAGCGCAGTGGTTAGCGCAGTGGTTAGCCCAGTGGTTAGCCCAGTGGTTAGCCCAGTGGTTAGCGCAGTGGTTAGCCCAGTGGTTAGCCCAGTGGTTAGCCCAGTGATTAGCGCAGTGGTTAGCCCAGTGGTTAGCCCAGTGATTAGCGCAGTGGCTAGCCCAGTGGTTAGTGCAGTGGTAGATGCATGTGATGGGGGGCTGGTGACCATGTGGGGTGAATGGAGTGGTCGGTGTGAATGGCACAGGCTGCTGCCATCCTTTGACTGATGAGCAGGGCTCCTCGGTGTGATGGAGGGTTCCGAGGGGAGGAGGGACAGGTTGGGAGTAACGGGCCGAAGGGGAGATGAACTAGTGCACAAGGGGAGATGAACTAGTGCACAAGGGGGGGGCGCGAGGAACCCGGGTGACTACAGCCCGGTCATTTTGGTGTGGATGAATGGGGGGTGTAAAACGGATGGCGAAGAGGAAGTGTTGGGGGTACAGGGACACGAAAGCGGTGGAGTGGATTTGAGCTGGGTGAGGTGCATGAGGGGCCGGCTGAGAGGGATCAGGGATGTGGAGCAGGGCTGATTTTATCAGACTATTTACTCTGATTAGTCTGAAATCTCAGACCGGTTTTTTTGCCAAACCTGAATTTCCAGATAAGGCATTTTCTCTATCCTAATTGATTCAGACTAAGACTTTGGGGATCCTGAAAAAATCAGAGTACACGCCAGGCCCCTAGATTGGTTTTGAGGCCTCCTGATGACTCAGGGGTGGCGCTCGTTTTTTGCCTGTATTTTCAGGACGCCTAGTGGAAACCAAGCTTATGAGTCAGGACAGCTTTTGAAAAGATGCCTGTTTTTTCAGGGTTCCTTACATTTAGGGTCCTGCATGACCGTGGTGCTTTTTGCATTGGAAGATCACATCACATCACATCATATCACACATCAAAGCTTGCAATACGTAGTTAAAGCGGATCCAGCAATGATTCATATTTAAGACTTATAAAGCATCTCATTCATCCATGGCAAAATCCATGGTCGACGACACTTCTACAGGTCCCTCCTCCACCACCTCCTTTCCCTTATACCTGAGCAGCCTAGGTTGTGCCACGGTACTGAAAGGCTTTCTCTTTTTGTATGCCCGCCACACATCCACCACCTCGTCCCAGTTTGGCTCATAATCGAGCAGACTGATGCACATGAGATCGCTCAGCCGTGTGTCCTTCAGGCTGCCCCGCAGCCACGACTTGATGACATTCTGTCGTGAGAATCCCCGCTCACATTCCACCGTGCTCAGCGGAAGCACGGCCACTGCCACCCACAGCTTCATGAGGTTGGGGTAGGCATCTTGCCAGTCTGCTGTCTTCAGCATCGCAGTGAGGCCAGCGTGGAAGCTTTTTTCGCTCTTCGGAAGTGCAGCAAGGATCGGGGTGAAGTGTGGCAACTCCCGCAGTGCTTGGCGCTTGTCGATGCCTGCCACAGACGGGAAAAGAGGTCGGGGGAGTGGTGTAAGGTTATGGTGGAGACAGTCAACTGAGAGAAAGAGACAACACATGTGCAACAGTCTCAGTTGTACAATGGTACATGTCGGTGGGTTTAATGGTAACGAGTTCACCTGGAAGGATCTCGTTCCTCTGCTCCGCGTTGTACAGCCCCACCAAAGAGTGGAACCATTCCAAGCACTGCACCCTCCTCGCATGCCGATCCCAGTCCTTCGGCCAGGCAGAAACGCAGAACAGCTTTACCCCCGCCAGCTTGCGAAGATCCCCGAGGCGCTCGTTCAGGTTATTCACCATCCCTTCCGCCAGGTCCATGCAAGCCACCACGCAGTTGTCATGCTTCCCTCCCCCAGGGTACCCTTGCAGCGTGTCAACGTGAAGCTCAAATGTGAAGCTCGTGAGACTCCCGTCGGAGTCCACGCCACTGACAGTGACCTCGCGAGAACCGCCAGGACCATGAAGGGTGAGGAAGTTGGTGAGACGGTCCTTCGGGCCACCCCCGAACTCATCCCCGCAATCGACGTAGCGGCTCAGGAACAGGCTGGTGATGCGAAGGACGGACGCGTGGACGGTCAGGTAGTCCAGCTGATGGGGGGATGGGGGAAGGTCGGGGGCAAGCAAGGTAGGACAACAATATAAAGTGACGTCCGCAAGTATACCACCACGCTAATGCAATTGTTATCTCACCTCGCGCTCCTGAAAGCCCTTGTTGAGGATGTTGAGCTGCTCGAGGACGTCAGCAAGGAAGTGGACGAAGAACCAGAAGCGGTAACTGGTCGCAATTCTGTAGAGCCTGTTGTCGGGGAACTCTTTGAGCATAACCACAAGCGCAGGCAACACCGCCAGCAACCTCGAGATTGCCTCACCTCTCGACAACCATCGAATGTTGTGAATACCCTGGAGCTCCAAGGTTGTCGAGAGGAACAGGTCTTGCAAGTCGAGAAAGCGCTGGTGCCACGGGCCGGATCTTCCGAAGTACTCCGCCAGCTCCTTGATGAAGTCATCCACAATTTGAAACACCGGAAGCGCCTCTGATGCTGCCTTGGCTGCCAAAGCCTCCCTGCATGACAAAACGTGAAACCAATACATTAGCATATTGCAAGCAAAGTTGAAGACGGCGTTAACTCTTGTACTCAGGATGACATATCTTACCTATGCGCAATACAGTGACACGACACAAGGTGAGGCACTTGCTGGCGCAGTCGAGTAACAAGCCCACTCTTCGACCCCATCATGACAGCCGCCCCATCAGTGCTGATCCCGGAGACTCGCTGGAGATCCACCCCAATGGCGTTCAGGTGGGTAAGCAGTAGGGCGAGCAGTGAAGACGCATCGGCTTTGTCCACCGTCAGCAAGGCCAGGTACTCGCACACCAGCCGGTTGTCACGGATGAAGTGGGCGTACACAATCAAGTGCTTCCCTCGGCAGCGGTCGGTGCTCTCGTCCAGCATGAGGCCGATGTAAGGACTCGACAGAAGGTGGTGAAGCTGCGTTGTTTGGAGCCAGGTTGCCGTTGCTAGTGTGAATTCGCCGAATCCGTACCTGCACGGTTCACATGGACTAACACACACTGTAAGTACGACGTGCAACCTAAGACGCGCACCATTCGGAGGGTCTAAATAATCAGAGAACATAGAGGGCATTAACAGAATGAAGTCCGTAGCTAAGCGGTGATGATTGTATACTCACGTGTTGTAGTACGTGCCGTAGGCCTGCTGCGGGAAACCCGTCACCTTCCGCGACGCCAGGTACTGAACGAGCCGGATCCATGTCTCGGCCGGCTCGTTAGTCTTGCAGCAGAACCACAAGGCGTCCAGCAGGGCAGTGACGCGCTCCCTCTCAAGGTCCCCGGCAAGGGGATGTTGATCGATGCGTTGTTGTCTGGTTGCCTGTTGCAGCAGATCGTTCTGCTTCTGCAGAGCGAGTTGGTGCTTGCCGGACCCCGCATGCCGTGTGAACGCCTGAGTCTGAGCATCGCATAGGCCTGGGCCACGCTTGCCAGCCTTCCCAGAAAGACCTGCGTGCTCCAAGCATAGGGTGCACTTAAAGGCAGGCAAGCCAGAGTCAGTCTTTAAAATGACAAGCCACGGGAATCGCGTCGACCAACGGGTCTTAAACCTGCTGTGAGCCTCCGCATACTGCTCCTCAGAACTCGTTGTCTTGGTCGACGACCTGTTTGGGGTGTCGTCAACATCGTCGGCGTCGGCAGCTTCTTCATCGGGCGGTGATGGCTGTTTCACTTTGGGCTGACCAAATGGCAGAACAGCCTGCCGGTAGCGCCCACAAGGCCGCTGAGAGACAGACGCAGGAGAGGAGTCGTAAGCGGGCTGAGTAGACGACGGCCCGGGTACAGCTGGGGGTGGGGATTCGGCAACGGGGACTGTGCTGTCTCGACTCACACGCGCGGCAGACTTTGGCGGGACAGCCGCTGGAGAGGCGCTGTCTGCGGGTTGGAACGTCGACGGACCAGGTACCGAAATTTCTGCAGCATGAACCGGAACGGGAAGACTCCAGCAGCCAGGTGGCATTGCTTGCACAGCCTCTGGGGAGGAAGCGCTCGCTGGGTGGATCGGCTGCAGTCGCGCTACTGCGGGTGGGGTATTTCTGACTGCGGGCATCGTAAGGATGCCCGCTCTTCCATTGATGGTGGTGGGTGCTACACGGGCCTCTACTGCTCTAGGATTGCTGCGTAGCGAAGACAGGCTAGACAGTAGCATGTCTAGCCCTGATCGAGCATCGGCCATAGCTGCGACATGGCCGTCAGCATCGTCCTGAGGAGCCTCGTCGCCGGCGTCAGCCATGGCGACGTGGGGGGCAGTAGAGCGATCAACGTGAGAGAGACGATGGAGGGCTTCTTGCACGACAGGTGAGACTGAGAAGAAAGCTAGGCAACGAGTCAGTGAGAGGGGCAATTTTGCCCCAACGTAAGAATGACCTCGACAAGAAAGGGGGGCGCGATTCGACTCGAATGGAGAGACGACAATGGGGCTGCATCTGGCCTTCATTCGAGAGGCCAGCGCAATGCATGCATCTGTTGCTTCATTGTCACCCGCTCTGCATGACAGCACCAGTGTGCTGGCGCAACGGTAGGCTTTGTTACTGGCTGACGATACCACATTTGCCTTAGCACCAATCAGATCGTGCAACATCGATGCCTTCAGTATACAGCTGTGCTGTAGGTTCCGCCCTAAGCCAATCAGTTGTCACCGTGCAGTGAGCTGGGCAGCATATGACTCGGCTGGTCGGTAACTTGGGCGAAATTTCAGGGACCTTGACATGATTTGAGGGAAACACGTGGGGGGAAGGGGGGGGGGGGGGGGGGAGAGAGCGGGGAGCGCAAATCCCGGTATTGACAAAATCAGGACGCGTACGCATTAGAGTGTCAGAAATTTCAGGACGCGTTACATAAACCATGCGGAGTGATCAGAGTTCACTACAAAAAAACCGCTGAAAAAACAGGATGCCGAACAAAAAAAACCCTACGCAATCAGGACCGGCCCGCCAACGGGGTCTGTTTTTTTCCTGAATCAGGAAAATTTTCCTGCAATCTAGGGGCCTGGTACACGCTAATCCAGTACTGAGTTTTCAGAGTACATCGGGTACAAACCTTGAAACAGATTTCCATGGGGCACGCAAGATCCCCAGAAATTTCGCCTGCCATCAGTGCTTCCCGCCCGCGTCACGTGCAGAATCCACACTTCGCATAAAATTCCGCCAAGTCCAATGTATACTCTGCCCACAGTGGGCACTTAGCTATCCAGCGCGGCAAAAATGCTGCCATGCTGAGCCAATAAGGACCGCAGATTCTGCTCTGTTGCTCTCTGTGCATGCGCGAACCTCGGGCCCGTGCCCTCTATGCCAGCCTTGCAGACCTTTCATGAAAGGTGCGACACGGGTGTGATGGACCCCTTCTTCTCCAATCGTTCCTTACCCATCAGCTTTGAACGCACTGCTTCAAGTTTTACAGGGGGAATCGTTCCATTTGTTCATTTGTCTGAGACACAGGCGTAGTTGTAGTCGCTTTCTTTAGTTCCATCTCTCGCCATGCCTGAAAAGGATGGCGCCGATGATGCTCCTGCTGACGGTGATGAGCCGCGCAGTAGTAAGGATCCTGCCGTAGCGCCAAGGAGCGCCCTAGACATCTTGCGGCCCGTTGCCGCATCGGCTCCTTCGCCTCTTGTCGCCACAACCGCTGTTGACGAGACACCGTGCGACGAGCCATCGTTGCCTAGTAGACCTGCCCCCGCTCCCTTCATTCTCCCACCAGCCATAGCATCTTCCAGCAGAGGGCCAGTGGATCCTATTCAGTGCGCCACTGCCTCTACCATTCG